TATACGTCTCGCTGAACCAGTACGCTAAGAGCCCAGACGTATATATACGTCTTCCCGAAATACGATTCTTTTCTTCGCGCTGCCATCAGTAAAACTATTCCGAAGGATTTGATGTGCAATAAAATGACTTTGACAGTGTCTGCGTAGAATTTACTTATTTCAGAGAAAAATTTGCCTATTTTTGTGTGTGTTTTCTTTCTTTCCTCTCCCTAATACACCGCATACGCTCACCTATGTGAAAAAAGTGGTACTGGGGGGGGAATCGCGTAACTTTTAATCGGCAGTTGAGGGGTTAAGATATTTTTTATCAATACGGATAATTGGATTGACTGACATTAAGGCTATTGCGCTGTTAACTAAACTCTCGGCTAGACAAAAAATACAAACTTTTTTAAATAAGCAAAGTAAATTATGAAAAATTGGGGAAATTGAAGCATCATTTATTTTTTTATCCAAAAAAAATTGTGAATTAAGAAAATTTCAGATTATTTGAAAGGCTCTATGAAAAATTCTAATTCATTATTTAAGTTATATCTACGGAATTAACCAAATCATTAAAATAAAGAGTAGATTTTTACAAATACTTTGCAATACTGATGAAGTATATTACACAATGATATGTATTAATGGAAATTGAACAACTTTTTCTTCGAAATTCTGCTTGCTTAGTTGTTGTAAGCAATTCTTCTGATCTCTTTTGTATTCTTTTATCAGCAAGCAAGAATACACTTTATCAAAGAATTCTCTTTAAAGTTTGTTTTCTAAATTTGGAATTCAAGAGTCACAGCTTAGAAGGAAAGAAATATTTTCAAGGAAGGAAAGGTAAAGAAAAAAAACAGCTTTGGAACGTATAGTTTTTCTTGCCCTACGGCTGCTTAGAAAAGAACAGAGAAGAGTTTCTTCTTTTTATTTTGGATTAAAGAGTGAGTTGTGTGGGCTTCTAAACAGGCTTTGCGCATGCCCTGAAGCATTAGTTTGTAACTTGATGGTGACAAAATTCAGTTCGATTGAAACAATTCATAGAAACATCTATGCTTGCATGCCTACTCGGAAACATTCGCTTGCAATTGTTCATTTATTTTTAGTTTTTTACTAGATCATAAAAGAGGATGTGGAATGCAAAGTTAAAATATGTAAAAATCCAATAATTTGTTCTTTCCTATAAACGAATATTCTTTTAAAAAATATCTCACAGGGCAAGATGAAAATATGTGGTTTTAAATGATTTCATATGACTGCCGAGTTAACCTATTTAAAATGGAAATTTTCTTTAAAAAAAACTCAACTATTAACGTCAAAACTACTTTGAGCAGCACCTTTTCTTTCAGTTCAACAAATAAGAATTAATTTTTTGTTTCCCGGTGAATAAAAGCAATGTTTTAAAGGCTTTAAAGTATATTTTTTGTTTTACTCTAAGCCAATTATTTAACGCAATGTATTAAAAAGTGTTTTCATGTAGAAGCTGCTTTTAATAAAAAACATATGCATTCATATATATGTTTCAATTTTTTTTATTTATTGCAGTGAAACTTTTTTCATGTGTATGTAAATTTCACAACTTTGTTATAAAAATTCCAGAAGCAACTTTTATTAAAGGAATTCACAAAAAAAATTCAGAGTAAGTTACAATGTTTGAAATTTTATTCTGCGTCTTAATGAGAATTAATGAGTACAAAGCTGTAAACGTGGAGCGAAGTATGGAGATTCTGGATTATTTCGAATGAAATCCGGACTTCATTCGAAATAAACATATTAGAGTTAGTTAAAAAAGGACAAAATTTCAATGAGAAGTATTAGGTGATGGCATCTTAAGACTTCTTGAGGCCATGGGACCCTATAAAATGTAGGTCCCACCTGAGACCCTTTTCAATAGTCATATGTTGTCAAATACTCGTAAGCGCATACGGACACTAGTAACAAATAAATGTGCGTGACTCACAATTCCAAAGACCCAGGCTCAAACCGAGTGCTGCCTTTCGACTTGTGGTGGTGGTATCTATATAAACCGGTAACAGACTCCAGAGTGAGGTGATCATTTTGGTCCAGCGGTAAGTTACGTGCTTACGGAACCAAAGGTACAGAATTTTATGCAATGGCGACCTTTGCTGGATTTTGAAAAAACGTAATTTGCGCGTTGCGCCATCAATCCGTCGCAAGAGCAACCCAAAGGAGTCAGATTCACATGACGCAATAAACAAGCCTTCAAACACACTTGCGCAACAACTCACACACTCGCCATAACAACTATATCGTTCGTTAGCCTGTTCACCGACTCACTGGTAGGGGAGTGTATGGCGGTGGTATCTATATAAGCCAGTAAAGGCCTCTGAACTGAGGTAATCATTTTGGTCCAGTTGTAAGTCACGTGCTTAAGGAACCAAAAATACAGAGTTCTATCCTCCTGAGACTAAATAAATAATAATGGGGGTAGGCCTAAAGTTCTAGACATGGATGAAGAACACGATATGATAATACAGTTACGACACTGTTGTCAGTTGGAATACAGTTTAAATTCCCCAGCCTTTCGGAGAATAAGTCCAGGAATAACATTTGATGATCAAAATTACATTCGAATCATATTCTTATCGAGAACAAAAGACAAGGACCCTCGAAGCCGAGGGACTGAAAGTTGGCCCCCAGTTGGCCCATGCTTTAAAACGTCCCATGTGATGGTAAAAAAAATATGTGTCAATTACATTATATGTCACGTGAGACTAATCGATAGAGACACATTTCTGTAATCATTAACATCAAGAAAAAAAAATTGTTTGAATAACTAAAAAAAAGTGTGTTAAGATGTTCAGCGAATTTGAATATTTAATTCATACTAAAGTAAAGTTAATCACACTAAATGTAAAATAAAATGTAAAATTGCACTTGGGGTTCGATATTAAAAGATAATTTATTTTACAGCCACCCAGCTGGTATGGTGGATATGACACTTGCCTTGTAATCTAGTGGGCTTAAGTTCAAATCCCGAATAAGGTATGGTTGTATCTTCTTCAGGAAAAAGAAGTCTGACTTTCGCCTGCATATAATGTCATCCCGTCTCGAATGGAAATCAGCGCATCCCTTCTGTTATATGCCAGGATCATCATTTGTAATAAATGTCTATGTTCTTCTGTTTGTATATTTCTGTTCTTCCACTGGTATTTCATACGCGCGAATCCAAGATAATAATTTATGTTACAAATAAAGATAGAGGTAAATAATAAATTATGCGTTATATAAAGGTCTCCCATTATCGACATATATTGATTAAAAATTAAGATTTTAGAAATTTTCGGCCTTACATACTTTTAGTAAGACATATCAATATTTATACTTATATAACAATGTTTCTTATTTATAAATTATGCAACTGATTGCATAATTTAAGTGAATTCAAATAACTCGAATGGTTATGAATTTTTTAAAGAAAATTTAAACAAAAAATACTGTGCTAAGTAAATAAGTAATAACATTAAATACATGAAGTTATCAAGGAATGGAGCAAATGAGATTTTTTCCCATTATCCTTTATCTACCGATGGTACTTAAAAGTACCACTCCTTTTAAAATTACATAGAATAACCATTTTGACGATACTTAGATCCCCTCTTCCAAGATATATGGCTGCACGCGGGTTTTATGATAAGTATTTTTGCGGAGAAGGCGAATAGTTTTATAGCAGAAATTGCATTTTCTGCTAACGGCGTTTTCAGCGGATTACGAAGATTATCATTTTTGTTCCGAAAAATAGTTAATGTCAAAAGGTAAGTGTCTTATATTTTAGTATGTTAATGAAGGCCTTAGAAAACGATATGACTATTTATTTTAAGTGAACAATGTATATAATTAATTTTGCAGTTGAATATATTTAATTAATTAACTAGCTTTAATGGATTAAATTTCCCAAAGTTGAGTATTTTGTTTATGCATATCCCTTAATTTTCAATGCAGTGATTCAAAAAAAATATTGCATGAAAAAGACTGCAGTAAATCACAATGCAGTAGATAAAGGATTAATGAAAACCTTTTTTTAAAATAAAATTAATTTACTATCCAAATTATAGAAACATGACACCAGAAATTTTCTTAAGTACAATGCGAATCCTTAATAATGTAATGTTCAATTTTTTTCTCGCTTTTGACCATTTCTTCTTCTAATATGATGCTTTAGTAACCAAATACAGCGTTTACAGTAACGGTGAGAAACTTCAAAGGTGTTGTAATCAAACGGGATCGCCTTTAATCTTTTAGACTGAGAATAACCGTGAACTGTTTCTGTGTTACACAAAGCTTAGTAATTACATCTATTGATCTGCAATGCCCCCTATCTCTCACTTTATTTTCCCCCGTGAGCTATGCCTAGGGGCAGAATCCTCTCGAATAACAGCTTGTGCCTCACCTAAACGACTAGGGGTCATTAAAGGGCAGAGAGCGGTGGGTATAAAATCTAACATCCACATTTAGTACAGCCGTCTCTTACTTAGATCTAGCTTTATTGCCTCCTATTCCTCAATGGTCCAAAACGGGATTTAATCCTTTTTGACATATTGCCTTAATACAGACACCATCTCTTGGTCTGCGACAGATGCCTCCAAACAACAATAGCAGTCTTTTCACTACAAAAGATAAAGAGTAAATCTCAAGACCCACTCTGAAATTATTTAGTGGATTTATTTATTTTTTACAAGATATATTTTTGGTAACTTGATTTCTTTCAAATATATTTTTCAGGGGCATTACCTATTTTTCAATTCCTACTATTAGTTCACTCTTTCCCTATATTTATTTATATATATCTCTTGTTCACATTTTCAATTGTTAATAAAATACTTTCTATTCATCCATTCAAGTTCAAATACAATTTTTTAAGAACTTTTAGGGGATGACACTTCATGTTAATACAGTTTTTTTTAAATATTAATTCATTAATTAAATTAAAAAATGAATAAATAGTAACAAACAAATATAATAGTCCAACCGCATATATAGAAGGGAAAATTATTCGTTGTGTCTCTGTAGTGTGTGTGCATTGGACTTCTAATCCAAAGGTCGTGGGTTTGAATCCCACGTGGGATGGCCTAATTTCTGAGAATGTGATTTCTTTTTTACTATACTATTTTAATAAAATAATTAAATTTCATTTGCGAGTAAACAGTAACAATTAAAATAATAGTCCCACACCATTTATAGAAAGGAAAATGGAAAATAGCTTTCTATTTTGTCTCTTAATATTGTGATTTTGTCATATGTATATACATATTTGTACATTAATTATAAATATTTAATAAAAAGTAATTAAATAAAAATTTTCTTTGTTGACCTAAGTCGGAATTGACTTAAAGAATTCTTGTATTACTTGTTCCTGTTCAAATTACATAATTCCATAGTATAGCCATTATTGTACAAAAGGAAATTACCCATTGATTTTTATAGAAAATAAAATTAAGCTTTTTTTGATATTGTGAACTTGTTTTTTACCGTGATCAGTTTTATTTATTATACGGTTTCTTATGCTTGTGATAATCATTTTATTTAATTAATTACCTTTATTTAATTGTTGTGTCATTCATTCCATAATATTTTTTATCAAAAATATTTCCCAGACGTATGCGTTTCAAAAGAGGTTATCATTTTTACATAATTAATGAAACAATTGTAATTTTTTTTAAATATGAAACCTATGACTATAGTACCTCGGATATTTTTCTATTAGTATTACTGTCAATCTAAATTGAAAATAAGGTGGTTCAATAATTAGGGATTAAAGAATTTAAATTTATCCGCAGAAGTAGAAAAATATTTTTTTTCATTTGATGATATTACTGATTATAATGCAGATGTATTGCTGAAAACTAAACTTTAAGTTGTATAGTGTTATTAGTAAAATGAGGATTTTACAAACACAAATTCTCTTTTTTATATTTAAATTATCGCCTAAATAATTTTAAGTCATATTTCTCATTTACTATGCGTATGCTTCTTTATCAACATCGGTCATTAAATAATATATATTTACAGTTATTTCTTTTAAATTATCGATAACTTTATTTTGTAGTTATGAAAAATTTATTTCAAACTTTAAAACACAATTACTATACATTTCTCTGTATAAGCCGATAACTTTTGAGAATTTTTTTTAATATGAAAATAAGGAGGTCGGCTTATATATGAATCAAATAATTTCAAAGGAGGTAGTTTAAGAAAAAAATGGTTTTAAACATTTTCCGTTAGTCATCGCAAGCAATTTTAATCTCTTTACTCTTTGAATGTTTTGAACGGATCTTTCATCGTAAAAGAAAAAAAAAACCGCTTATAAATCCTTCTAAGTCAGAGTGAGAACTCTAATTTCTAAATAGCTTGTAAAGTTTACATTTACTTATTTAGATATTTGAATGTATATGGTCATCACGCAGAGAGTTTTTCCTCTAGATCATGAAGTGTAGGTTGACGATCACATACCGTCTACGAATGTTTCTTCTCACTCATTTTACAAAAATAATAACGCAGAGAATATATGAATAACTCAGATATTATACAAAATAACAAATGAATTAAAAAAAGATGTGAAGTTCCGATATGGTTATCAGATATAAAAGTAAAACCGTTGGCATTTTACTTTATAGTAGTTTAATTTAAAATATTCCACTAATATGCGAGGCATTTTACCCATTTGGCAACATTTTTACTTCCATAGAAACATGTTTGGGAATTGCAGTAACTTTTTTTTTCAATTTGGTTTACATACAAGTTTCGAATTTTGAACTATTTTTTGAAGAAAAGATGCATCCTTTGTGTATACATGAATGGGCTTATATTCGAAAATATACAGTACTTACTTTTTTAATTTATTGAAACATTTATCAAAAAATAACATCTTTTCAATGTATTCATCATCTCCGTATAAAATATCACCCTTTAAAATAAAATTTTCATTACGAAAAATACTCTTGTTTACAATGTTAATTATTAAGGTATCCGACTACGTTCGGAACCGTGATTTTAAAAAAGCGTATAAATGGATAATTTCCATATTATTTAGTGTCACTTAGATTAGAATATATGTATAAAATTATTTTAAGGACATTTTGACAAAATAAATTATTTAAATACAATATTTCGGCGAAAGATTAACTTAGAATAACCTTTTTTCAAAATGTTCTCCTTTTGTGAAAAATGCTTCTATTATAATAATATTTTGCCTGTTTATAGCTCAGACCACTGTACTGTGGCTCAACTATGAATTTTGAAAAATTCACATTATTTTCAGAGTTACAATCCATTAAAATAATTATCGGCGTTTTTTTCTTAAAATTTCTCCACTCTGTTGTCGTAAAACATGGATAAACTCACTTCTAAGTTATCTATTTCAAACATTCTAGTTGACCCTCTGTACAGAGACCTGAGCTATATACAGGCAAAATATTATTATAATAGAAGCATTTTTCACAAAAGGAGAATGTTTTGAAAATGGGTCATTTTATGTTTATTTTTTGTCAAAATATTGTACTTAAATAATTTTTTTATAGTAATACTATTCTTAAAACAATTTTATATATATTTTCTAATCTAAGTGACAGTAAATATCATAAATATTATCCATTTATACGCTTTTGCAAAATCACGGTTCTGAACGTAGTCGAATACCTTAAAAGTGAAGCATCATAAAGTAGCATTGAATAAATGTGAAATTTGTACCATGTGTAGATCTCACAGATGATTAACATTGCAGTGTATATGCAAATTCTGTGCACTAGGAGTGTCAATTACAAACGCTATACAGATGAAGAACAAACGAGTCTGTTTTTTTAATTTCTGAAATTGTATTATCCTGCGTTTTTTTTTTGTGTGTAAAGAACTTCAGTATTCATCCTCGAAGAATACAAAATCAGTCGAACACGTCTCAGAGTTTGACATATGAAGAATTACGGCTTACATATATTGCGAATTATCTTTACGAGAAATCAATGATTGTATTCGAAAAATTCAAGTCTCAGTGATCTGAATATGGAATGGGTGAATGCAGGAGGGGTGGATCGACTGATAGAAAGATTGCGCCAAGTTCATCATACGACCAAGCATGAGGATTGGCATGAAAAGGATGATTGGAACCCCATTATATCTTCAAGAACTTTAGGGGAGCATTATGGGTTTTTTTCACAGCAATTTGTGTCAGCTCATACCATGCAATACCAGAGATGAATTTCATCAACCTTTATGTTGTTGCAGTTACTTGTGATTGTGCCCCATAGACATATGCTACAGCAAAGATGCATCGAACGTCTGATACAGACAAATGAATTGCACGTCATTGTCTCTTCTCAGACGAACATCATTCTATGTTCGGCTTTATGAAAGTTTTAAGAAAGTCTGGAAACACAGGTGTGAGAGACTGCATGATCATTACAGAATGCATCATCAGGCAAGTCCTTCAGTTTGTGTTAGGTCTTAAGGTACGATTGGATTTTTCCTTAATCTCCCTGAATACACACATTGTCTCAGTATACTTCAATAACCAAAGATACATTACTGAAGTTTTGCAGCTGGTTACCATCCGTTACTTTCAAGATTTTGTGTGTGTGTGTGACTATCATTAAATTTCAATAAGATAATGCATTACCACACTTGGGATACAGCCTTTAGTATTTTATTTTTCTTACCTGCTGTACCGCTATCTTAACCCGTCCGTTCTCCTGATCTGTCGTCCATTAAATACGAGCGGTCAATGACTGGCAAACGGCTAGTTCATCACACCCCACCCAAGCTAAACTAAATGGAATTTTTAAAATGTATGAACGCAGCAAGGTTTGCCATATCCCTAAAACATATCCAAAGATTTTTTTATCAATACCGAGGCATATTGCAATAGTTGTTGTCAACTGTTGTAGCTACACAAAATAATGGTGTCTTCTTTTCTGCAATTAGAACGATCCCCTATATATATTCTTAATATTTTACATTTGTATTTTATATTAATTTTCTAATAAATGTCGCTTTGATGTGTTTTGCCTGTCACGGTGTAGCATTTTGGATGATCAAAATCGTATTTAAGTCCTGAGAATTTTTCTTACTGATGCAAATGCCATTTATAATATACATGATTAAAAATTATGATTTTACTAGAAAATATCATGTAAATTGATCTTAAGAAGAAAGGAAGTTATTACGAAACATAGGACATGTGAAATAGTTTTCATTAGAGTTTTAATATTTTATAGGAGCAAACATTTATATTTTTAAACAGGCTTTATTCAAACTAAGTAAACTGTACCACACGTGCAACTTTCATCTTAAATTCTTAAAAAAATATATTTTCAATGTTATTCGCTATGCTTTGAATGGAAAAAAAAGACAGCAAAAATATTCTGTTAACATCAAAACTATTTTTCCCTATTAAAGTATTTGTATAACGTATAGCACAAGGAAGAAACGCATTATGATTTCATGCATGAATCAGATAATTGATAAAAATATAAAAATTGGGAACACACGAAAATGAATCTCTTTGAATAGAAAACCTGTATTTTTGTGAAAAATGTAAGAAAATACTTGTTTGCACACCGTTTCAAAGAATATATGGGCTGGCAATTGTCAACAACCATCAACATTTGAAAATTTTGTTGCTTGCTTTTCCATGCAAGTTTAGAATACTTTCAAAAGAAAATTGTTTTCTCTTTCTTAAGAAAACTAAACCAATTTATATGTTTATTCTATTTCTGTATGAATTTGATTCCTTTCTTTATACACAGCAAAGGGGATTTTGAGAAATATAATATTTATTCATATTCATTATCAGAGAGAGAGAGTTTTTCCAAGAAAGGCATTGTAATTTGTTTAGTATTAAAAATGAAGGGAAAAAAAGAAATATAAATAATATGTTTTTAACACCTTCTATACTGCCTAAAGTATGCTTGTAACTGAAAACACACATTCTACGCGCATTACTATAACAAAGTAATGATATTAAATATGTTTGGTACTCTTAGTACAAATACTTCTCTAATTGTAACGATACTAACCTTTATATGCTTGATTGATTGATTTTTTTTTCATTTGAAAAATAATTTTTAATACTAATG